AACATGACGAACCAATGTCGACCATCAAGTGATGCAGTCTTGGTGGGACCCCAAATATCTATGTACACGTAGTCTAGGATGCCCCTCGTCCTATGAATAGTAGTTCCGAACTTCACCTTCGTCATCTTGCTAAGAACACAGTGCTCAGAGAATTCCACTTTACCACTCTTGGCTTCCTTCAATAGCCCCTGCTTGCATAAAGCCTGCAGTGACTTCTCTCCTGTGTGCCCCAACCTATAATGCCAAAGCATGCTCATGTCCGTCTCTGAAATAGCTGAAGCAACCTGGCCAATCTCGGTGCTCCCCTTCAGATAATACAAGTTCTGATTGCGGACTCCCTTCATCACCACTAAAGATCCCTTAGTAGCCTTTGCTACAACGTCCTCAAAAGTCACCTTGAATCCCTTCGCCTCCAAAGCTCCAACAGAAATAAGATTCTTCTTCAGCTGAGGAACAAATCTCACCTCCTTCATGTTCGCGGGAAAAATTGTAGCTTTCATCATTGATTCCATTGTACACTCTTGTAATAGTTTATCGATTACAAAGATCCGGTCTTTTTATAAGATCCGGTTACAACGAAAATCAAATAAAAAGAAATGAAAAATTACAACTTTGTTTCCTTGTTTGTCGAACAAATCGCGAGCTCCTGTTTTGCGGTCGCTCGCTTTTGTGGGTTCTTTGCCTGCGCCGGGGTTTATCCGTGGACCACCGCGAGATCTAGATCCGATCAGATCTAAGCAGTACGACGGGTATTATTTCACCAAGGAAATAATAGCCGGGGAGGATTGGTTCACCAAGGAAACAATCGTCCAAGTCTCGGGATCTAAGACCAAGCTTAGATCCGGAGTACGTCTGCGTAGATCTGAGATCCGGTCCTCTCGAACACCTGCCTTTTTTGGCGTTGACGATCGCTGAGCACCAGATCTGGAAGAGTGAATCCCCGAAGTCCCAAAGCTCCAATCTTTTTTAAGTTTTGAGTCTTGAATCCGGCAGAGCTTCGCCTCCAAAATTTCCAACCCTCTCAAATGAACAAGGGGGTGGCCTATTTATAGGCTACCCTCACTGTGCCTTGGGCACAGGGTGGCCGGCCACAAGTGGCTCGGCCGGCCACCTTGGTGGCTCGGTGAGCCGACCTCCAGGTGTTTATCGTTTTGCCTCTTTGTGCCTGTTTTCCGGTTCTGCGGTTGATAGGTTCGGATTCGATTTTGTGGTTGATTTATCCAGACTTGATTCGTTGACCTGTCCGCTTTTCGGTCTTGTCCGTGATTCAGTTGTGCGGTTGATTGACTCGTTGACCTGATTTGGCAGTAAATCTGGATCCTGATTAGGCAGTAAATCCACTTCTAAGTTCGAGTCCGAAACCGATCTTGATTCGATCGTGATTCGTCCGAGTATGCTCTTGGTTGGATGACTCGTTGACTCTTCGAACACTTGGCTTGATCCCGCACACGAATGGACGTATTCCGTTGTTTGCGTGCGACTAGTCAATCTCGTTGCCTCGTTGGTTTGTCGGTTTGCGCCGAGCTGAGCTAAGGGACCTATAAGCAATTTTATATGCCTACACTTCAATTCACGGACTACTCCATCGTGCATCCAAATCCTTATGGTACCTATCCCATAAATAACACAAGATTGATCATTTCCCATGACTACAACTCCCCCATCGAGCTTCTCAAAAGATGCAAACCAACCTCGCCTAGGGATCACACGATAGGTAGCGCCGGAATCAAGCATCCAATCTGATGCATCTTCATGGTTCACCTCCGGAGTAATCAATAGAGAAAAGCTCGAATCATCGGAATCATTGTCTTTCGCAATATTCACCTCATTGGCCTTCGGGCCCTTTTTCTTGCTATTCTCCTTCTCTTTGATCTTTGGACAATCTCTTTTCCAGTGTCCCTGCTCCTTGCAGAATGCACATTGGTTCTTTCTAAGTTGGTGACGACCTCTTGACTTTGACATTCCTCTATTACCACCTTTCGAATATGGGCTTCTACCTCTCGTCGACAATACCTCACCTGAAGTACTAGCACGGGAAGTCTCATTGTCCTTCCTCCTCAGATCATAATTCATCAATGCATTAGTAACTTTACTATAGCTAATAGAAGATCTCTCATTCAACAAAGTGAGCACAAAGGTGTCATACTCCTCATCCGGTAAGGAGCCCAATAAGATAATAGCCTTGTACTCATCTGATATCTTCTCATCAATATTTGCTAAGTCCGACAACAACTTCGTATAGTTGTTCACATGAGCCGCAAGCGAGGTGCCTCTGGACATCTGGAATCTGAATAACCTATGCAGCAAATGCAACTTATTCTCAACACTCTTCGTAAGATACTTATTGTTGAAAATTTTCCACATCTTCATCGCAGACGTCACCCCAATCACATCATATTTCAGCTCATGTTCCAAACATGACCTGATCACCCCACAAGCATTCCTATTCATCTTTTCTCATATCGCCTCTTCATATTTTGGTGGTCTCTCGTGGACCATAGTGGTCTCCTCCAAGTTCTGAGCATTGAGCACATCATGTACGTCGCTCATCCACAAACCAAAGTTGATTTTATCGTTATATTTCACTATACTAATTTTGGTATTCTGAAAACCAACTTGAACTGTCCTCGCCATCGATTTGTTGCTTTCATCTTCTTCTCCCATTGCAAACTAACTCCAAGTTGTAGAGAAAGAATCAAATTTTGATAGAAATTAAGAATCACCCAACTGAACCCTAAATTGGATTCCAAATAGATCTCTTATCCACACGAGGAAAGCGAAATCTCCAACGGCAACTCCTAATGTTATCTCCACCGAAGCCTAGAACTCCAAGAACCAAGCTTCACACAAGAATCTTCCTCCACCTAATTCCAAAAAACCCTAGATCTGAAATCTGGGCTCTGATACCACTTGTTGCGCGTAGCGAAAATTTTGGCAGCACTTCGGCAGCATAACAAGAGAGTCAGGTTGCAATAGAAATTCTCATTTCACCAAGAAAATAAGAACCTTAAGCAAAATATTTTAACAAAGTGGGATATCAACTCTTCCTCTCATCTGTTCTAGGACTGACATGTCGAGGGAACCTAAATAAGCTATTACAAATTACATAAATAGCGAGACAACCAATTTTATATGGTTCGGCAAATTGCCTACGTCCACGGGGAGAGGCTGGGGAGATTCCACTAAATCAATGAGAGTACAAAGGATTACAATCTCACAAAACTCACAAACTAACCCTCAACCAAAGCTCTCAACTTGCTCACAATATCTCCCGCTCACAATGCTCAAAAGTCTCTCTAATCTCTAATTACCACTCTCCTCTATTTTGATGATTGATTCTAATCATCATATATATAGAAAAACTAAAACCAAAACAGACTAGGAATCCTAAAACCAAAAACAAAACAAATTAGGAATCCTAATAACCTCATTTTACCAAAATATATTAGGAATCCTAATAACCTCATGTTACCAAAATAGATTAGGAATCCTAATAACCTCATTGGTAGATTAGGAATACTGCTATCCAACAAAAATAAGAACATCATAGATCACAATTCTTGATGCAACGAAGAAGAAGTTCCTTGGAATCTACCAAGGAGTCCTTTGAATCCATGGACGGGATATAACCTTAACTCCACGAAATTGATAAGAGAGAAAAGCTTATTAAAAATAAGTAATGTCTAGGATTAACAATATTCTTCTAAAATAGAAAAAACAGCTGACTCCTGATAGACATAGTTTTTTTAACCGAAAATTCTCAATCATCTCTAGTCAAACATGTCAAATTTATTCATTGATGGCAGGAATAGCTAGTAAAAGCTTACAAAAAATGACCGGGGTCTCGAAAAAAATTTGAACATGTGAAAAAGCATGATATTACACCACTGCACTATAACAAAAAACATAAAACATATCCAAAAATCTTGAGATCCCAAAAGAAAGGAAAATACAATGAAACTAGCCCAAGTGTGACCTGTTGTTCAAAGTAGTTACACATTTTTTTAATATGATGCAAACCCCAAGAATCATCGAGGAGACCAATTAACTATTTCAAGATAAATTCAAAACGTTATTATAAAATCGGTTTTTCTATAGAGTGCCCATGGGCACTCTATAAGAGATGAGAGAGATAGAGAGAAATGAATAGTTCATGGGCCCCTCTGATTTGCATTAATTTCTGTGCATAATTCATTTCTCCCTATCTCTCTCCTCTCTTATAGAGTGCCCATGGGCACTCTATAGAAAAACCGTTATAAAATTGAGCTTCATTTCTCGAATCATCTGCTACCAATCTATCTGTAAACATAATTTGCTTCTCTAAAAACATGCGGAACAGAATAACACACATTATGCAAAATTGATATAATTTCAATCCAGGTTGCTCTATACTTCTAGTGGTTCGATTTTTTTTTTTAAATCTCTACAGGAATCTAAGAACCTGATTCGATCTCAACAAGTATTATACCATTGTCATGATAGACATAATTAATTTACCAAACATAAATACAATATGCATGCATCTGAGCCCTCTCTGTCCTAATTATATTTTTTTTTGCATATGTACCCCTCAAATCTACTATATTTGTAAAATTATCCTTTAAATCTTAATATTTGCAAAATTTATCCATATCTTTGACGTCGATTTTTTTCTACCCCTTTCACTTAGCAATTTTAGTTTCTTAAAGGGAAACTGTCACAAACTTATTAGGAATTATTGAAAAATTTTCCAAACTATTGGGACTTTTTGACATTGTCATGTTTAAAAACCAACATTCTTAAGTTAAAGCAATAAAAAGATCCATTATGCTAGTCTTGAGGCGCAACTTAGTAAATATCAAAATTTAAGGGGCACGTATATAAATATTGAAGATTTGAGCGGTACGCATAGAGAACCCATAATAAAATAATGACTGAAGTGGACTTTTTAAGAAAAATATTAATCGCATAGAGATTTGAGGCTGAGTAAACACTGAACAGTATTTATTAATGACATTCCGATAATAAAGAGAGGAAGACCAAGATATGAGGCCAAGAGAGAGAGAAGCAGAGATAAGGGAGAAGAAAGGTAAAGAAGCATCCATGGAGAAGCGATGGTCTCTGCAAGGAACTACAGCTCTAGTCACTGGAGGAACTAAAGGAATAGGGTACCTTTCTTCAATATTTTAGCTTCTAATATTTTTCATTCACACTCTCTAGTAGTGTCCTCATTATGAATTTCTCCATCATTCTTTTATGGGTTTTTCGTTTTTAAACTAAAAGCTTTGCCATCATCAATTTTATACCAAAAAATTACGTCCAAAATTAACAAATCATCAACTTCGATAGGTAAGCTTAGAACATTAGAACTTGTCAAATTATACGCATCACATTCAACGAAATTGATGATTTGCTCATTTGGGATTTTTCTTTTCCAAAGTTGATGATTTGGGATAGTTTTGCAAAGATTAAGATTTAGGGATTATTTGCAAATATGCATGATTTAGGGGGTATATACATATAAAAAAAAAAGTCTATTCCGAACTCATACACTTCCAAATTGACTTGTACTCCCAAAATACCAAACGCACTTATTTCCAAACCCAAACTCAAGTTTTTGTTATGATTGTATTCATATTAAAAAAAATTACATACTATAACAAAAATTTACAAAAGTATACCACCTCCTTCCTCTCAAAATCCCGAACCCAAACTCAAGTTTTTGTTATTACTATGTGTTGCGCGTGGTTATTTTTTGAGTTTTTTATTTAGTATAATTAGGTTGGCAAATAGTTTAAAAAAGGGGCCCTGAAAGACCCTACCCGATAGCCGTATTACAATTCTCAACTTACAGAGTAGCTTTCATCCCCAACAAAAAGATGAAAGCACTATACGTATTTTTACATATTTAGTCATGATTACATGAAACCACACATAAAAGAAAAATAGCAACAAAACATATTCAAATATACCTGCAAAATATATAGTCTCAACTCGAGTTATGCCTATATGAATCACCATCTAGACACCAACCAATTAACTCAACATGTCCACAAGGACAGGCCAGACTGAATCCTCATAAACTACATCCTTTTACACAGTTTGGGACTTAATCTTCTAACAACCAAAACTACAAATAGTGAATTCAAATATAAAAAAGTTCTAAAAAAAGATTAAGAATTTCTTAAAAAGATTATGAATTTCATAAAAAATCAATTATGCAGAAGGATTCCTAGTATGATAGGACATGTAAATTCATTGTCCATATACTTGTAAACTGTGAATAATATTTGGTATAGTGTGAAAAATTAAATAACTATATATGACATGTGTAAATTAATTAATAAATTATACACAAATTATATCTAGTCTGGTTGTTTGCAAATAATACTATCCCAATAAAAACTTAAAAGTATTCAACAAAATTTGGTGAGTTCTAAAATATCTTGGCATCTTGCTGCATCTTCATGTAGTTCTGAATTGGGAAACCGAGAGAGCATAAAAAATCACTTGGTTTCCATCTCCCAAAAAATTAAAAAAAAGTTCAAACTTACTATTAAACCAGCACCAAAGAATAAAATGGATGGGGGCAACGTGGAGGATGAATTAGCCGAAGGATTGTACTTGATACAGATCGATGTACTGTTGAAGAAATACTTGAGGTGTTGTTGGTATTTGAAAGTAGGAGTTTTTTAGAGTCAATTTCGGGTGGAGATGGAGAGAGGAGTAGTATTTGAATTTTTTTAAATGAAGAGGCAAGGAGATTGAATGCTGAAAGAGAAGAGAAAGAGATTTATAATTTTAGTGAAGACATGCTATTATTATGACAAAGGAGGAGATGTGGAGATGAACCAGTAAAGGCTATAAAATAATGAGTCGTTAATTTTATTAATTTAATTTAAGTTAATTTAATTATAATTAGAATATATAATATAAATAAGGTTTAGGGGTAAAATTGTCCATAGAAAGTTTTATCCATACTCCCTCTTTTAAAGAGAAATATGATTGTATTCATATAAAAAAAGAATACATACTATAACCAAAATTAACAAAAACATACCATCTCTTTCCTCTCTCAAAATCCAAACGAGTATTGTGAGAAAGAGAAGAAACTCAGATGTGCGCATGATGGGTTGCGTGGGAAGGAGAAGATGGCGGAGCAGTGGGTTTGGAAGTGAAGCTTTTTGATTTTGAAAGAGGGAAAGGATATCGGCATAATTTTGTAATCTTGGAGTATTTTGTATAGGGTTGTAAATGCACCCCTAATTGTGAATAGACCGCCCTATAGTTATGTATGTGTGAGTATAACCCTATAGTTTTGTTTTGTGTAGTATCCCCCCCCCCCCCCCCACACCCCACACACACACACACACAACACACACACCCCAAGTGAATTACTTACTCTAAAATCATTAAAAAGATTTTGGGAGTCGGATAGAACCCTACAGTTCTAGTGTGGGGTTGGACCCACATTGTTTTCTTACTTTTAAATGAGTCAGAAGTGTTATTCGCACTTGGGCCGATACTAATGATCTATTCACACAAATAGAACTATATGACATCTATTCATAATTTACGCTTTTGTACATGAATACAATAATAATAAACTTGGGTCTAAAAATAAATGAAATACTTTGAGTCTAAAGGTAATTCAGAAATACGTGGGTTTAAAAATAAAAGTATGGTTATCTAGTCTAGTATGTTATTATGCAACCTATATATATATATATATATATATATATATATATATATATATATATATATATATATATATATATATATATATTATATATATATATATATATATATTATATATATATATATATAGTATATATAATATCCGACTTCAGACCGCCCTATAGTTATGTATGTGTGAGTATAACCCTATAGTTTTGTTTTGTGTAGTATCCCCCCCCCCCCCCCCCACACCCCACACACACACACACAAACACACACACCCCAAGTGAATTACTTACTCTAAAATCATTAAAAAGATTTTGAGGAGTCGGATAGAACCCCTACAGTTCTAGTGGTGGGGTTGGACCCACATTGTTTTTCTTACTTTTAAATGAGTCAGAAGTGTTATTCGCACTTGGGCCGATACTAATGATCTATTCACACAATAGAACTATATGACATCTATTCATAATTTACGCTTTTGTACATGAATACAATAATAATAAACTTGGGTCTAAAAATAAATGAAATACTTTGAGTCTAAAAGGTAATTCAGAAATACGTGGGTTTAAAAATAAAAGTATGGTTATCTAGTCTAGTATGTTATTATGCAACCTATAATATATATATATATATATATATATATATATATATATATATATATATATATATATATTATATATTATATATATATATATATATATATTATATATATATATATATATATATATATATCCGACTTCACATCTTCATCTTCATTTTTATAATTGCACTATAATAGTTTATAAGTTGTAACTAGTTGAATAGTTTAGGTCTACATTTTAGACTATAACTTCTAGTAAATGCTTAATGGGTAAGTATGTTTTGCTCATTGGGTCCTATTGTCTGCATAATATATTTAGTAGATTGAGTACACATAATGATGACACATGGATACTTCTCTAGAAATAGAACATATGGCTTAGATTTGGCTGTCGAGGACGTTGTCATGAGGCATTAGACCCTCCACTGTAAAGGGAAGGATAGATAAAAATCAAGATTTAGTTTGTGCATTCCTGCAAAAAATCTAATGTCTAGCTGGATTGAGATCCTCTACAATTTGGTGGTAATTGGAGAGTGTTCAATTATCTCATTCCTATTCCGCTATTTCTATTCAAATGGCTGAGATAAAACTATACAGGATTTCCACTATCACAATATCAACCTTCACAATGGTGATTCTAAAGATGATAGTGGTTTTCAAGATAATATTTAGAGTCCTACATGTCTTTGTCTTAGTTGTTGGAATTAGAATAGAAGAATATGTTGGGTTAATTAGACACTCTTGAATTACCATCTACTTAGAGGGGATCCCAATCCTATCCTAGGGCACATTCTATTGGAATGGATAAAGAAAATATTGAGTTTCTTTCCTATTCAAACTCAATTGTATTGGAAATACAATTTCTAAGGGGCGTATTTGCATACACCTGTATTTCTTTCCATATATCTTGAGATTCTTTCACAGATGTTTTCACTTTTTCGTAATCAACAAAACGTGACTATCACGTATTAATTTTCTTCTTTCCTTTTATTTTCCTTCTTCGTTTCACATTTCCTCCACCTTTGCATTTTTCTTCACAAGCAACAGGTTCACAACAGCGAATATCTTTACGGGAAAAATCAAGATGGCTATAAAAAAGGATCTCAAGGAAGGCTGATGAGCACAAGAAATGATTGAGCAATCTTCTCTCTCTCAACAATTCTCATCAATTTATTTAATTTCTGATTTTATTTTGTCTGGCAAATATCCATTGAACAAGAGACCGGAGTTCGCAGTTCGCTCTGGTGTCGGCCTTCTTAGGGTGTCTCGGAATTTGGTTTTCCAGACCTGATTTTTGGTTTGTTTTCTTGATATAAATAGGAACTTTGTTCCTAGGGTTTTTTTGGTGGAGCAAAGTGGTTTTTCAGAGAAAAAAAAGGAGAATTTTTTCAGATCTGAAATAGGTGAGATCTTGAGGAGAGGAAAAAGTGAGTGCTTGGGGAGATTGTACAAGAAAGAGATTGTCTTTTCTTGGGTAAAATCTAAGCTTCATCTCTTTGGGACGAGCTTGTGGGTTGTGCAAGTCGTCGGTGTTCTCCATCATAGTGGAATCTCCCTTCACCCCTCCCGTGGACGTAGGCAAGTTTGCCGAACCACACATATCTCTCGCCTCATTTACTTTGGGTATTATTTTTTGTGTATTTGCCATTGCTTGTCGTTCCCTCGATATTCAGATCTAGATTTGATATCGGGAAGAGTGTATATCTCACCTCGCTGAGATATTCACTTCTGTTCTTGTTTCATATCGAAACAGGAACATCGAGGTTGGCTTGAGTTTTGTGTAAACTCAACCAAGGTTTTCTCTCGAGGCGATTCGCTTCTGCGGTGAGTGGGCACGTCGGTGCCCAACAATTGCTATCAGAGCCCTTATTCAGATTAGGGTTGGTAGAGCTTCCGATTTGATGTGGT